ATTTATTGAAAAGCTTAGACTTACGACTGAAATAAAAACAATCCAACTTTTAATGGCGTATAGGGTGTATCGATAGTTCTGTTATTAAATACAAAACTGTCATCTTAACATGCCGTAAATGACGAAAATACTTAACCAAGAAATTACTCTACTCTCGAACGCCACTTGCTGTTTTTGAAAAAAGCAAAATGATGCTGAATATTGCGGCTGCAATCTGAAAAAACATGGTCAAATTAATGAAAAATGTAAATATTAATAGTATTTCAGTTTAAAAAGTTTAAAAACTAAACAAAAATGCTATATAAAGTAAGTATTAAGGGTACCAATGATTATATTTTTAAATACGTAACATAGCGAGTCTAATATGGCGTATAAAATGGAAAATATACCACTCTTCATTGCTGAATTACATTTGCTTATGTATAGGATGATACAATTTAATGAAAATTAGAAAATAATTAAATATGGCGAACTACAGATAGCGCCTTATCTTATCTCATTAACTGATTCAAAAGATAGACAAAATATATACAAAAAGAAAGACAACATATATAAAAAATAATTACATTTACAGAAAATTTCCAAATGACACTAAAAAAATAAATTAATTTCTGTCAATAATTTTTTGACTTTTGATGACCAACCTCCGTTTGCAATTAAATTTCAACAACAAAAAACTGCTTGCTATATATAATTTTTTGTGAAACGATTAATTTCAGAGTTGCTGTTAATTTATTCAACTATGTAAGCATATAAGTTAGATTTAAAAAACCAATAGCCAAAGCGACAACAGCTCGCTTTTTAAATAAAATGAAAGAAAGCTTTTTGTTTGAGTAGTGTTGCGAATCAAATCCATCTATAGAATACTCAATGAAGCAGAAATTCTGGAGTTCTTAGTAGCAGTGTTTTCCAGCACATCCGATTTTGGTTGAGATATACAAATTCGGTGAATGTTTAGTTCAGTTTAGTTCAGGCACTAGCGTCAATCATCTTCAAATATACATGGTGTCCCATTAATATTGCGAAACAAATCAGGAGGAGTTTCCTTGACCAAAAATAAGAAATAATAATCCTATAAACCTATGCCCGAATATGATTCGTTTCGGAGATGCAAGGTGTTGAAATTTAGAGAAAATACAAGGTTTTTACTAATATCTGGAGAACCCTAATTCCGATTTTTTTTAAACTTGCTATGTTTGTTTATAAAAACGGTAGACGTCTTCTGGGGTAATTTGATTTATTTTATCTATTCCAGCGGCATCCGGGGACTCACTCCTGTTGATATTAATAAGAAAACATATGAGACGTCACTGCTTTTTCTTAGGTGACATATTTTTTTCTAATTCTGCGATTAAAAATACAACTTTTTTGTCACTTTACTTTTTTTGATATCTTGCTTTGTTTTCGATCAAATAATTAATAGCTTAAGAGTGTGATTTTAATAAGTACTTGAACTGTGTAGTTGTCAATTCCTGTTTGTCAAAATGAATTACATAAATAGTGTTCGAAAACTTACCGCAGGAAACGGGCGACCCCGCACAGCAATAACCCTACAATTAGAGTGCAACAAGTATCAGACAGATTGCTAGAAACTTAAATGCAAGTCGTTCTACAATTTTCAGGATTTAAAAAATAATCTTCTATACCCTTATCACATCCAACGGGTTTAGGCTCTTTTACCTACTGATTTTCCGTTAAGATTAGATTTATGTCGATGGATACGACAAAAATTTGGGGAAAATCCTCAATTTTTAGCAGAAGTACTATTCAGGGATGAGGCGATTTTTTCTAGAAAAGCCATAATGAACTTCCATAATAATTATGTATAGGCGGACGAGAACCCAAATGCAATATTAGAAGGCCGTCATCAACACCAATTTTCATTAAATGTATGGTCGGAATTGTGGGAGACCCATTTTTTTACCACTGAGGCTTACTGGAGATGTTAATCGCCGTTTTCTTGAGGATGAATTGCCCGTATTTTTGGAAGACATCCAATTGCCATTAAGGTTGCAAATGTATTTTATGCATGCACGATGGTGCTCCACCCCATTTCAGTTTAGCTCCACGTGAATATTCGAACAATATCTACCCAAATCGCTGGATAGGTCGAGGAGGCACTCAACTCTGACTTCCGAAGTCTCCCGACTTAAATTCGTTGGATTTTTTCCTTTGGGGTCACCTCAAACATTTGGTTTATACGACTCCAGTGCAAACCATAGACGAATTAAGAAACCGCATTGTCGCATCCTGTGAAACAATTAAACACACAGCCGGAATATTTGAAAGGGTTCGCCAATCTATGTGTCGTAGGATAGATGCCTGTATTAGAGTTGAAGGTGCACATTTTCAACAACTGCTGTAAAGTATTTTTCATATCATTGCTGTTTGTTAAATATTTATGTTTCTGTTAATATTAATTATTATTTAGAAACATATTATTTAGTGAGTTATTGTTTCTCAGCTTGTTACATTGTTTTTTTCTTCAAATGTATTGTTAAAGTTGATTAGTAAATAACTAAAACATTGAATTTCTATTTTTGTTTTCTACTTCCCTTAAGAATGTGCATATGAAAGGATATTAATTTTTTGCTCGAAAACAAAGCAAGATATCAAAAAAAGTAAAGAGACAAAAAAGTTGTATTTTTAATCGCATAATTAGAAAAAAATATGACACCTAAGAAAAAGCAGTGACGTCTCATATGTTTACTTATTAATATCAACAGGAGTGAGTCCCCGGACGCCGCTGGAATAGATAAAATAAATCAAATTACGTCAGAAGTCGTCTACCGTTTTTATAAACAAACATACCAAATTTCAAAAAAATCGGAATTAGGGTTCTCCAGATATTAGTAAAAACCTTGTATTTTCTCTAAATTTCAACACCCTGTATCTCCGAAACGAAGCATTTTCGGACATAGGTTTATAGGAACTTTCTTTCTTATATTTGATCAAGGGGCAGTCCCCTTTTTTCGCAATATTAATGGAACACTCTGTATTTACTTCGATATAAACATAAATGTTTTTCTAAAATTGTAACAAACTGTCTCGTAACGGACTGTCGTTCAGGACACAGATTTTAGAACTCTTTTTCATCTACTTAAGTTACACCATGCAAATTAAATGTTCATTTGCTATGTTTGAAGAAGTAACGATTCGGATAACTAGGACATTACAGAACCATATACCAAAAAATATTGCAGTTTTCACTTAATTTTCGTTACCTGCCGATATTTTTTACGTAATGTAAAAGCTGAAAGCTATTCAACTATTTAATAGATATTTGAAGACAAAATTTCTTTTCCCTAAAAATATTTTAAAAAACCATCTTAATACTTTTTTAAGTTGAATTAATTTAACCTCTCTGACAAGCCACCTCTATTATAATTTAACTATACACTACGATTCTCCAATATTTTCTTTCGCACAAAAGAGCTCATTTAAAAAATATTGATTGGTAACAAGATACTGACAAATCATAGTGACCATAGAAAAAAAATAATTAAAATAAGCTGGAAGTGGCCTGAATCGAACAGAAAGAAAAAAAGAAAAATACATTCTGTATAATTCCAATAAAAACAAAATTCCTAGGATTTATTCGAGCCTTTATCCGCTTGGATGAATTCCTTCTCTATTCCAATGCGCTTTTATATCGATTTGCATTTTTATCGCCCGTTTTGTCAGCCATAACTTTTAAGGCAAATGTAGTATGCAACACTTATTTACATTGGATACATACTCTTTATTCTGATGAAACTGTTTACGAAAATAGAAATAGTTTCCATATTACGTGAAGAGAGTTTCCAATCGTTATAACATTGCTTGAAAAATGTTTTAATATAACAAAAGTTTAAGGACAACAAAATTCGCAAACAAAACAAGCAAATTATTTTAGGTGCAATCATAGCAAGCAGTTGATTGTCTATGCCCATATGAGTTTGTTAAACTTTTTTTGTTATAAATAAAATCATTTAAAATATCACAAAAGAAAAACTATGAATCTCGTTCAGTCGTATTAAATAACGAAAAAAATGTCATAACAAGAAAGCCAAATTCTTACCTCAAAAAAATCTGACCTAGAACATCGTCTGCTAAATCACAGCATTCCTGTTATTATGGAATATTTCTAAACTGTAATACAACTTATTTAACAACTAACCAACATCTGAAAACATATTATTACTCTATTTCAATACAATATAATGATTGACACTGTTCTACCAAATTTCGTTTTTAAAAACGACCTTTATCTTGAGACAAATGACAAGACTTCACGGGAAAAACACCTTTTCAAAAGTCAGTCTACTCCGTTAAATTTTGGTGAAAACAAGTGAATACATTAAGTATGTTAGTCTTGTTAGTTTTTGGCTATCTTGTAGAGATCGCTAGTTACGATCTCCCCAATGAAAATCTAACCTCAAAAGTTATATTTTAAAATGTTGCAGGGAAAGATCGTTGCTATCGACATTTACATAATGGAAAACTAACAACACTGACACATTAGTGCTCTTAAGAACTTGTACCTAATTTTAAGGTCGTATATTAATTTTTGAAAAATATACGGCCAAACTTTGATTTTAAAAAATTATCTGTAACGCCTTGTATCTCAGAAATAATAGACATTGAGCCCTAGGTATCTACGTAACAAAAAATCGTTTTATTTGTTGATGTTCTACCAGACTCTATGTATACGGCGCTTTTTTTTAAAAACACCTAGTCTCAGTTAAAGCAAGATATGCGTTAGGTACGAATTTCTATCTAAAACACTTAAAGTTCTATAAATGCCAATTTTAGCGAGATACCTCAAAACTTAGATCCTTACAAATTTTGTAAGGAATACAAATTCATTTTCCGATACCGCAATATTTCTCGCATTCGTCTCTAAACATGAAGAGTATTTCTTGGTGAAGTCCCCATACCCAACAACTTTATTACTTCCCTTCGAACAAACAGTCCACAAACTAATTAAGTGAATAGCTTAAGGAAACTTTACTTTGTAGGAGCTGGCTCACAAACTCTCCAGGAGCTTTGACATGAAGGACGAACAGAACCTCCTGGAGGGGGAGGGGGGCATGCGGCGACACCAATCCATGCAGCGACTGGCAAGGGACGGCTTGCCCGAGCAAAGGGACCCCGCCAGAGTGGTGCAGGACGAGGAGGGAAACCTTAGGATAACCGTTAAAAAGACTAAACCCATATTAGGAATAGCCATAGAGGGGGGAGCTAATACGAAGCATCCCTTGCCGAGGATAATTAACATAAATGTAAGTCTTCCTTAGTATTGTTATCGTTCTCTTTTTGAGTAATTCTAAATATAAAAATCCTATAGACTGCTGTTATAAGATAAAAATAAATATATAAAAAAAGAAATATTCCGATGCATTCTCGTTCTTTTTTCTAATATTATACTAAATGTCTGGAAACTCTGAGTAAGAAATTAAAAAAAAAAATAATAGTGGAAGATGCGCTTTTACGAAAATTATATATCAACGCAGTTACATATCCAGAAAGTTTTTCCTCTATAACTATTTTTTGTTGTTTTTGAAATTTAGTACAGTTATTGTTGATAAAAAATCTAACTACGTTTATCGTTCAAATTGTAGAAATAAATCATATACAGAATATATTTAAATGAGGGGCACAAAATGATGCCAGAGATTGCTTAGGTGAAAATAAGTTGATATGACATATCTATATCCCAAGTCGCATAATAAAAAAGATACAGGGTGTCAAATGAGAAATAAAAAATGGTTTTTCCTTAATAATTTAAGTTTTAGTCAGACATGTTTCCAAAGTTTTTAGCGATTTCTAAGAGTTTTCAGGGTGGGAAAAATAATGTAATATTCATTTTAGTAACAAAATATGAAATATTGAAGTTTTTGAGCTTTTCCATACTATCAATACTTTTTAGGTGACTCCATAAAAAATTAGGTGTGACGTCCGGTGATCGCGCAGGCCATTTGACGGGTGGATCATTCCCTCGACCTATCCATCCCCCAGAAAAATGTAATGCCTAACAGCTAATGTACTATGAGCAGAAGCTCCGTCGTGCGCGTACCACATGTTTTCACTGACAGATAGTGGCACTATATTGGGAGTTACTCATTTAAAAATCATATTCCGCCCTACATTTCCTGCTTATAGGTACATTTGAACAAAAATTGTGCTGAAATCTCGATTTACAAACTTGGTGGGGGTTTTGATCAGACCATGATCCGAAATACTATCCGAAAAATATCTCCCCAACGGTTGACTTTAGTCATTTTCAATGAATATGCCTTTTTTGTTCAAAAAGTCTATTATTTCAAATTATGTTACTAAAATCTATATAAGAAGGCTGACAAAAAAGTTAATATGTACATATTTAATGCATAACATTGCCTGCAGAGGGCGCCCCGCAGGCGCCAACCAAAAATGTTATTATATTATTTTTCCCACCCTGAAAAATCCTTCGCTAGAAAATTTGAATAAAATTTTAGAAATTATTAAGGAAAAACCATTTTTTATTTTTAACTTTGATACCCATACCTTTTTTATTATTCGACTTGCGATATCGGTATGTTAGGTTAAATCAACTTATTTTCATCTAAGGAATCTCTGGTATCATTTGTGCTCCTTCATTTAAATACATCCTGTATAATACCACAAGAGATTATGATTCTGTTAGAAAAATATTTTTTCTGTTAAAATTACAAGTGCAATTCTTATTTCTAATTTCTGGTGGGATTAAGAAGAATATAAAGAGACACGAGCAAATTGAGCTTTTGGAGCTATAGAATACAGAAATACATTTAACAAGAATATTTCACGAACTGTGATATTTACTTTATTATTTAAAAATTCAATTCAGTCATCTGACAATAGGCAAAATTTCGATGGCCACAAAATCATATGTGATATTACCAGCAATAAAACTTTACTATAGGCTCAGTATAATAATGACGTGATTAGTCAAAAATTAATCAAAATATGACATCTGAATGGATACAAAAACAACAAAATCTTAAAGTATAGTCAGTCGGGTATGCAGTCAAAGCCAACTTAAATGTGTACTATTTTTTATTACATTCAAGTTGGCTTTGACTGCATACCCTACTATACTTTAAGATTTTGTTCTTTAACTTAGACAGTCGTCTAACATTTTCGCAATATAAAAACAACGATAGACAGTGAGATAAGATATTTTCGAGTTTTTATTTTCGCTAGTAAAATCGCAACGGTTATTTCTCTTTACTTGATTAATTTATTATTATTGTTTAATGATCAGTAAAAAAAAGATATAAAAATGTAAGCAAGTTAAAAAACCCTGTTACCTTGTTTAATATTTATAAATTAAGTTCAGTCGCCCTAAAACGTCGCGCATATGATTTTTTGAATATTGCCCCAAAACACTGAACGCGTGTGTCGTAGGAAGCGGTTATCGATTTGGAACAAGACAATATTCTAGAAAAAAAAAGAAATTTCTTTGTCAAAACATGTGCATCTACAAAAATAACTTTGAAATATCTTAATCAGTATCTGTTCCCTTCGAGGTGCTTGATTAACTTGAGTCCTCCGCCTCTCACGGATCAGGGTGCTTGATTTAAGTGAGTTCCCTTGCTTCCACCTATCAGGTTACTTGATTGATGTGAATCTTTTCGCCTCTCACTTTTCAGAGTGCTTGATTTACATGAGTCACCTCGCCTCATCATCTTTCAATTAAAGTTTGTGTTTAAAATGATGGCATTTGAAAATGTTGGCAGCTCATTTTCCAAAATATCTCGGTACATTTGACCATTCAAGTTGCTTTCAAGAATGTGAAGGCCGATAAGTCATAAACGAAGGAAATCGAATTTACTAAGTATCAGAGAATGGATGCAGGTTGCTAAGTTACGATAATAGTTGTTTCTTGACGTCATTTTTCAGTAACTGAAAATTTGAGAAATAAAATTTGTTTTATGACTAATTTCGATTATTTAGAATGAAAACGTGGTATTTTTTTTATTCCAAACGTATTGCAGAATCGTATGCATAAATTGTCAGAAGGAGAAATCGAAAAAAATTAATTTTGTCGATTACAGCGCCATCTACCATGAATCGAAAAATTGTTTCAGGCAAATCCTACGTACTTTTAGCCGTATAATCCAAATCTGCATTGTATAATATGGGTTTATGTTTAGGTTTCAAAGCGAAAGACTTTATGAAATTTAGAGAATTTAAATTTACGGGCAAATACTTTTTCTCTCTCTAACGCTACGATACTGGAATACTGATCGACGAAGTACTATAGATCTTAGATTCCTCTTCCATTAAAGATCTACCTAAGAATGCACGCGTTCAAATACCGTAAGTAAATCCATTGCCAGCTTAGTTAGCCTTTATCTCTGTACAACCAAGTAGTAATACAAATTAAAGCCGAGAGCATACTAACCCGCGCTGTCAGAGTACTTGCTGAGGAGCGGTTTAATGGTAGAGTTAACATTTCCACGTTTGAATTAGAGAATGAACGTTCCTGCGATTATTCCTTTCAACTTGGCCGAGAAAAGGAGAGGTCGGAGTTATTTAATGCAACTGTGGGCGCTAATTTGAATAATAATTCCTATCTGAATCATCTCGTACAGAGAAGTTTACTTTGGCTCAAAGACCGGGAACTCTATGGACGGGATATAAAAGCTGCTTTTTATGCTGGAAGCGGGGCATTCGTTCAGCGTCTGAGGCATTATTTTTACGCTTCATTTCGCGGACTTCAAAGGCGCGTCATGAGTTCCGAGGAGAAATTGGATTCGCGATTATTAGGATATTTGTTCTGGGAAGAACTATCGCTGAAATAAAATCTGTCTGACTACTTTATCTATCAAAAGGATATATCGCATACTGCGAGGACTTACATTAATTTTTTCTTTTTTTAGTATAAATATATCTTGCAACAAAATCGTGAACAATTATTCAAGACTACCTTTGTAGTTCATCTCGAAATGTCAATTACATTTTTTCGCCCATATACAGGGTGAAAAAAAAGTAAGTCGAGCCGTTATCCACAGATTCTTTAGGTGAAAATAATGGGACGTCTTTTTGCCATTTTTCGTTTAGATGTGTCTTACTTATGTATTCAACAATGCAGGTATATTTAATTTTAATGAGAATATTCACTCTTACAACACACGTTAAAAACATCACTTTCACTTATCATTTAGTAGAATAAATTTAATTAAAAAATCACCTAAATATACTGGATTAAAAATATTTAACAGGCTGCCTGAAGATATAAAGTCATGCCAAAATATAAAACAATTCAAAATAATGTATTTGAAAAATTATTTACTTGGGAAGTATTTTTATTCTCTGTCTGATTACATGATTGTAAACTGTGTGACTTTTATGGGTGCTATCTTGGGATTTAATATAATGTAGTGTATCTATGTGTAGTATTTTATATAACCTATATCTATCTATCTATCGGATATAAACTATATGACTTTTATGAGTGCTTGTCTATATGTTTATTTTTATTATTTTTATTTTTATTATTATGTAGTACCTGTACAGTGTTTTTATAACCTATATCTGTTGTGACCATTCCTATACAATTGTAATATTGTCTTAAAGGAAAATAAATATGGCGTTTCTTATTTCATGTTGAGAGAAAGACATGTCACTTTTCTATATGCTAAACTAAGCCATTGGAAAATATCGCATATATACAGGGTGTTTTTGAATGGAGTAGCATAAATGATACCAGTGAATCTACATTTCAAAAGAACACGATCTGCAAAGAATCGCCTTAGTAAAATGTTCACCCCTGAAGAGATATGGGCCATCAAAGTTTCCAAAAAAATTATGAAAATTGGCTGTAATTTGAAAACCGAACGAGGTACAAATAACAAATTTTTTACAGGTTGTTTACTAATACAGATGCGAGTTTTCAACTATTTTTCGAAAATTTTAACCCCTCGAAAGGGGTTGAAATAACCACCCCTCAAGCCATTTTTTGCCATAACTTTTATATTTCGTAAAAACTCGATATCCAAAAATACGCATTAGATAAACTGGTTCTTTTAGAAACTTTTACCTCTCTAGCAATTTTCCTTTAAAACTTTTCGTTTATTAATAAAAAAATAAAATGTATTACCATTCACCTCACACCGTATATGATTGCAATCAATCAAAGAAAAACTAAGTGTGCTGCTGTCATGCCAGTTGTCACAATTAACTCTTCTGTAAGTTGTCACTGTTATCAGCTAAATACTTTTTGGGTGTAAATTAACAAGAATTATGCCAAATTTTA